TCTGGAGAATATTATTATTTGGCAAAATTTTGTTATATTATTTCGTTACTGCTAATATATAATAAAGCAATGCCTAAGCCTTTTTATCGCGTTATGGTTAGGTCTATCTGTCTGCTATTAAAAGGATATTTGGCTTTTTGTTTCAAGCGATCAAGTGACGCAACAGCGCCAGCGTCGCCAAATGCATAAAAATGTAAAATGGACTCGCTTGACCGCTTGATGCATGAACGTTATGTATCGTATATGCTCGTGCAGCTGCCAAATTTGCGACTTTATCACTAGCTAATTTATCTGGAATTTTGACATCGACAAACTTCTGATTAAAATTATTAAAACTGCAATAAAAAATTTTGTACCTGTTGAAAACATTGATAAACATAAATTGTTCGATATATGTAAATGCATAAATGACGTATTCGTCATCTTATTATTTATGAATGTCTCGTATACAACCATTTTCCTCATTGCGCAGTTTCACAATTTATTATTTGCGACACAAAGTATGACGTAAATTGAAATTGTTCTATGAGAAAAAAGATGATATTATAACTTATAATGATACATATTCACAAACATTTCCTTGACAAATTATTATTTCTAAATTACTTTCAATTTTCCTAAACAAAAATAATTTATTCTACAATTCATGTTTTGCAATGAATTTATAATTTGTTGTGTGATTAGAATTTTAATAAAGCAATCAGTTTCGTATAAATCTTATATCAACAATTTCTTCACAAACAATATTTAATTGGAATTTTATCTCGTTATTATCATATAATTTATCAAAATGAATGCAAAATAATTGTAAAAATATGAAATCTATAATTTTAATCGAGAAAGAGTGAGGTTCTCAGACGACATACACGAAAACGAGACATATAAGATGTCTTAAAGACACCTATAAAAAGACATTTTTAAGATACATTTTAAAAAAAAAAGATGTCTCAAAGACATCTAAAAGACTTATTACATCTAAGTCTCTTTAAAAAGTCTTATGTCTCGATTTTGAACTTTTTGTTCTCTGGGTTCGTGAAATGATTTCAATTTTAAATTCATGTCGAATTTTTGAAAAAGTAGTTCAAAGTAGACGAGAGTCTGAATCGCTACCAATTGGCACTTAATCGAAAAGTAATCGCTTCACGTAATGTGATTTTATCGTTTATACATTCAGAAGTCGAGCGAAAAGGAATGCATGCATTCTTAAAAATACAAGGTAACAATAGGCACGTGCTCTTTTACGATGTACCTCGTTAAAGCAATTATGCCAATTGGATGAAGCCTAAGGAGGTAAGAGTCGCACGTCGCGTTCGCCAAGGTAAATTTTCTCATCGTTATCGAGATATAAAAGTCGCTCGTTTATCGCTAAAAATTAAACATGTAAAGTACAATACACTTTAATAGATGCAAAACACCTGTATGTAAACATAAGCATCATAAATATGTACACTATTAGAGAGAAAGAGAGCTATTAAAAGAGCAATAGTAATCCAATTAATTAAGTTAAATAAAAATTTTGTAACATTTAACTTTCTTAATGTGTGTTTCGAAATGTAAATCAATATCCATTTCTGTAGGTAGTTTTAAACTACAATGTGTCCACATTAACGTATGCATTCAGTAAAAATTATACATCTTCAGTTGCAGACAAAATTTTCAAGCGAAAGTTCGTCGAATATTTTTAATAATAAATAAATAATGCAACTGTAATTAAAGTTGTAACTTTATGATATGAAACAATTAGACAAAATGTAATGTGTTAATGAGTATGTATGACTAATGTAACTCTGGTATCTCTAGACAAATTTACAGCTATTCTGAATGTGTGGCAGATATTGTTATCTTTTATTTCTATGATAATGGCTATGGTACGTCGTATCTTTGTGGAATCTTCCTACAAAACGTCGCGTCGCGTCGCGGGGATTCAATGCGCGATTGCACTCGTGATATCTCGCAACGCATATGGCTCAAGTAAGTATCGCATGCGTAAAGTGTACGTAACATCCGATGAATTATAACAAAAGATTGAATATCACTTATATCCTCTTGCACTTATGGAGGAGCGAGTAAAAACATTCTCGACACAAAAATATCTCGTGATTAAGATAGTGTATCGTCAAACACGTAATGTGAGCGTGACGTTATTTTTAAGATGAGTTTAGGTAAAGTTTAGGTAAAGTTTATACGTGTAAGTTATTTAAAATTTTTGCTTGAATGAAATTTTCGTGAAATAAAAAACTGATTAATAAACAATAGAAAGATTTCTGAATAAATTCTACTACAAAGATTTTGGAACAAATAATTTTTATTTAAAAAATACTATTTAATTTTTTGTATTGTTAATTTTCTCGAAATTTGTTCCATTGTTTAAAATATTGTTACTAAAATAAAAAATTATCTAATATCAGATCTAGAAAATTATTCTGTTCTGTAAAAGATTGATTTTCGTTTCTAGTTTCGTTTTTCTATTTTCGATATGTTATATCGATATGTTATAGATGACCATTATCCTTGTCAATCAATAAAAATTATATTGGTGAATTTTGTGATATCTCGAACCATCCAAGGCTAACTTTTATCTTAGAAGTAGGTGGAGACTCATAAAATTTTTTGGATATCACATTAATTAAAAATGACTTATACCAGAAACCTTATTTATATCAGAAACCTGTTCTAATCGTTATTTGAATTTATTTCAAAATAAAGAAAGTTTTTTAAACTACAAACGACTAATATCTGAAATGATTTTTAAACATAAATAAAAAAAAATGGAATTCTTAGATCCCTTATACTGTATACACCACTTCAATATTTTTAAGATTTAATTTCCCTCTCTTCTTTAGTTTATCGAGTATCTTATTGTGTTGTTGCTTAACACGCGATCTCATTAGATCCATGACAAGCGTACTGTCAACATCGCATGATACCATCTTTTAATTGCCATGTAAGTTTTTTTATTTAATTAATAATACCTTTAGTTTAATTTTCAATCTTCATTTCATTGACTTATGGTTTATTATTTAGTATATTTGGAAATTTAATGAACATTATTGGGCACATACGGATGCGATTTGACTATTCCATTCAGATATTTTAATCATAGTTCACATAATGACGAACAAAGTAATTTTTGTAATCTTAAACATAATTTAATGATCCAATTGTATAATTGTATAATCAATTTGTATATATTTTACTTATGATTTTGGTGTAATTGCTGAAGGGATTCCTAATCTACGGGTCAAAATGTTTAATTACTGTTATATACAGTAAATTATAATCGCAACGACGTTCAACGTTGGCTCTTAGGCTTTTTATTTTTATTTAAAATAAAAAATTCATTAATATAAAACAATGAGAAACAATTTTAGAATAAATCCTTTTCTGAAAAAGGAATGTATTTTAGATATAATTCTCGATAAAAAAAATGACAAATTGTACAATTTCTTTCTTTTATTGCCAGTTTATCTCTTTCAAAAGTTACCTTATATAGTAATCATCGTAATTGTTAAAAGAAAAAATGATTAATCAACAATGTGCCACTGCTATATTTACCATTTAAAATTAATATTTTAAACATTTTGAAATGTTTCTATTCAATTATTCTTTAACAGAACACTGTTTATGATTATTTATAATATAGCTTTATATTCAATACCATAATTTTCTCTCACACTGTCATAAATGACCTGATATTATAGAGCAATCGTAATAAAAAATACAGATTAAGAATTTTTTTCATATTTAATTAAAATTGATTACATTATCTGATTATTTGCATATATTTAAAATATAAGATTTATAACATTTTAAAAAGAAATGTTCAAATTTTAATGAAATAGTTACAAAGTTATATAATTTTTAAGTTCAATTTTATATATTTTTTTTGGTCATACTAACCGATTAGAAAGATTTGTTATAATTAATTAAGTAATTATAGGGGATAAATGGAAGTGTGTGTGTGTGTGTGTGTGTGTGTGTGTGTGTGTGTGTGTAAAAATTGTAGATCAAATTCTTTCTCGGCATGTGAATAAAGTATTCTATTATTCTATAATACTAAAATAACAAATTAATTAATAGATAACGGCGAGTCACTCTGTGACCGAGAAAAAAAATTCTCGGAAAAAGATACATTCTAGACTATAATACATTTTACAATCAATGAAATTGTGACTTCTTTAATTGCCAGCCAATCTTTCTCAAATTTATAGCATATATCGTACGGTATGCATTGCTGTAACTGGTTCTACACATATGCAATGAAATTTCCATTCGATTGTCCATCGCGATGAAATTTTAACATGCATGCAATACGTATAGTTAATACGTTATATGTTTGTACAATAATATCACACCTGCATCTGAAGGATACTCAATTATGCATGAGCGTGTGACGCTGCAAATGAATTTTTTAACTTGTTAAACTCGCATTGTAAATTTCATTCCGTCAGTTAGTATCCGATATTCATTTTACATTGATTATACGCGAGAGTTACCACAAGTTAAGTTTAGATTAAATTCTCTCCTTTTCGTGTATGAATTATCGTGTTTGCTTTCATCAAGAGATAAAAGCATTTTATTAAATATGATATGATTATTAAATATGATATGATTATTAAATATGATAGGAATGCAACGCAAATAAAACTCATAGTTGAGCAATAAGAGGTGACAGTGGTAAACGCGATCCTGAACGCGGCATCGCCAGATAGAAGCGAAAGTGAAAGTACCACGGGCCTTTGACAGAACGATCGTTAAGATTGTTTCCGGCGGATCGAATCGATGGAAACATATCGGATCGAGATCGACGCGATGATCGCCAATAATCACGGAAATCCCGAGAATATATTTCATGACGTGATGGATCCACGGCGTGTTGTAAAAGCTCGCGCTATAAAAGCGAAACTCAACTAGTCGTCCTTCGAGCGCGATAAGTTTGTTAATTTGAAGTCGCGGGACCGTGAAATTCAATAGGAATCCGGCGATAGTGATCAACTTACCCGAACGAATCGCGGCCGATCGAAGCCGCCATCGTCGACGACGTCCCCTGCCACGATCGGAACATTCATTGTAGCCGCCGTCGCATCATATATAATATTGCTCCCCGTCCTCTTCGATCAAACATCGATCATCGTCATCATCATCATCATCAGCATCATCATCATCATCATCATCATCGAACTAGATTCTATACTATATATGTATAGAAAGCACTGAGTGATACGTCGCACGGAGCAAGCATCGTTCATACGTTCACAAGTACGCTCTCAGGCATAGACGCGTGCTGACCGATCTGCGAGCTGCGAACACACAATCGAAGAATTTCAAGACCTCAGCTCGCGATTCAATTTAAATAAATTTAAATCGCTACGTAACCGTCAGCGTGAGCGCGCCACTCGTTCCTCGCGCGACTCTCGATTTCGTCGGTCGGTACTGACAATGAATTAATTTAACTGTGAGTAAACCGGAGCTGACCGGAGCCGAGTGATCGTCGCGCCGAACCGGGCTGGGACCGGGGAGATCGATTAACGCGATCGTGTAGCGTCGACAGCGCACGGCCACTGATCCTCCGACTGCTTCGGATTTCGGGCTCACTGAGCTCGCTCTCGACAGTCTCGACACTCGACTGACTCAACACACGGGACACGGTGAACGGTCGAACGGTCGAACGATCGATCGCCGTGCCGATCACTCCGAATAGGTCGCGTATATATATGCTCGATACGCTATACGAGAGTATATGCGACAGCCACGTACCACGCGAACACACTCGTGTCAGACTATCGCTCGGAACTTGGAACTCCTTGGAACAGTCAGCGCGCTGCAACGCGCGCCAAGTAGCAAGTACTGTACAGCGAGCGCGCGCGCGCGCGCGTGCGCACACACGCACACACACTGGCGATCACGCGAGTCCGTTGCAGCGGTCCGCTTATATTAAGCACAATACACCTTGATAACTTTCATGGGAGATTGGCTGCGGTACCTGGATGTTATCTTTAAAATGATTTTAACTCAACTGACATCAATTGACATCATTGAATCGGTAATTAATTTAGGTAGCATTTGTTCTTTTTTATCAACATGGATTAGAATTATTAGAAAATTCCGATATCGATACACCTCTTTGTATTTGGACAATATTTCTTGAACAAAGGCAAAATAGTTTCTAGAAATACAAATTAGAAAGTCTTGTGTATCAAACAATATATATAGAAATTTTTATGATACTTTTTGAAATTTTGTAATAATAAACTTTTTTGTAAAATAAACAAAAATGAACGCCTGACAAAATGGATCTCAAAACTGATACAGTGAGGCAGTAATATGCTACATATTCTCATTCTTTTTCCTTTACAGGCATTATTTATACAAAATATCTACAAGTGAATATATATAAGATTTTTTAGAAATTCTTTTTATTTTTATACAAAACGTTTTTCATATATTTATATGCATACTTTATGCTGTTCTACAAAATGCAAACATATAATACACGATTTTTTATTTATATTTACAAATTTATATAGATAATATTCTATGAGTGTCCAGGAAAAAATAACGAAAAAAGTAACGACTCATTACTTTTTGAGTAACAATAATGGTAACGGTACATAACGAGTTATTTTTACAAGATAACGTTGTCTATTCTGTAAAGCAATGTTTCTAATATTATTGTTGCTTGATAATTAGTGAATACTATAATTAATCAGAATTTAATCGAAATCATTCAAGTGACTTTAAAAAATCAAATTAAAATTAATTTAATTGCAGCGATTAATTCAACCGATGGAACCATATATGTATATTTATATATATA